TGATACTAGTATTAACAGGTCTTCCTTGTATGCATATGGATATTATCCTGTTACTCACAATATTTTATTTCAAGGTAGATCTAGAAATGGCCTTTTAAACTATGAAAACCACCAAGTTTTTCTCATGTTTTCATCTCCAGCATAGTAGATCATAATGACTGTCTGATTCATAATGTCCCATGCCAATCCATCTCATTATGCTAATACCTAATATGTCGATATTTAAGAGTTCCATTTCTTTCTTAAAAATGTCCAGGTTTCCTACATTCATGCTTCTCACATTCCATGTTCCTGTCATTCATTTCTGCTTATGACAGTTCCTCCTCCTTTGTGTTTCCAAATTTGAGGGCTCAGCCTCAGTTGCCATATCTGTTAGTCCAAGTGGGCTCTACTGTATATAGGGGTTTCGAAGGCCTCTTATATTTTGGAAGTGGATGGCTAATTCTTCTTCCTAGTCTATCTTAATTTAGATACATAGTTTTAGAACAATATCTGACGGAAAAGGAGTATACAGAGTCACTGTACCAAAGGTAATTGGCTGACACAAAAGAATTTAAAGAAACAACATATGATCAAAAGGCAATTGTGACAAAGGAGGAAGTTCAGGCTGCTCTGAAGGACTTAGCAAAAAATAAAGCTGCCGGAACCGATGAAATACCAATTGACATATTTCAACAAACAGACGCTAGCCTGGATGTACTCACCAAGTTGTGCCAAGAAATCTGGAGGACAACTACCTGGCCAATTTACTGGAAGATAAATATATTTATTCCCATTAAAAAAAAAAGTGACCTAACAGAATGTGGAAATTATTGAACAATATCTCTAATATTACACAGTAGCAAAATCCTGCTGAAAATTATCCAGAAATGACTGGAACATTGACAGAGTACTACTAGAAATACAAGCTGGATTTAGAGGTCGTGGCATTAGGGACATTATTGCCAATGTCAGACGGATCTTGGCAGAAAACAAAGAGTAATGGAGGGATGTCTATCTGTGTTTCATTTACCATGCAAAAGCATTTGACTGTGTAGATCATAACAAATACTGCCTAAGCTTGGGGAGAATGGGAATCCCAGAACACTTGATTGTGCTCATGCAAAACCTATACTTGGACAAGGAAGCAGTCCTCAGAACAGAGCAAGGAAATGCTGCATAGTTCAAAATCAGGAAAGGAATGTGTTGGGGATGCATCCTATCTCTGTACTTTTTCAAACTACATGCCGAACAGATCATCTGGGAAGCAGGGCTTAATGAGGAGGAACGTGGCATCAGGATTGGAGGAAGATTCACCAACAACCTATGTTACACAGATGACACAACCTTGTTTGCTGAAACTGAGGGGGCCCTAAAGTGCTTGCTGCAGAAAATCAAGGACTGTAGTCTTCAATGTGAATTGAAGCTCAACATAAAGAACACCACTGGGCCAATTTTCAGCACCATGATAGACGAATAGATTGAGGTTGTTAACAATTACAGCTTGCTCAGCTCCACAATCACCAAACACCCTTAACACTAACAGTTAGGAAATAAAAAAGATGAATTGCACTGGGAAAATCTGCTGTCACAGACTTCTCCAGGGTACTAAAAAGCAACGATGTCAGTTTAGAGATCAACGTGCATCTAATCAAGGCCATGGTCTTTGCAATTACTTGCTATAGGACAGAGGGCTGGACAATGATTAAAGATGATAGAATAAGAGTCTATACTTTTGAATTCTAGTTCTGGAGAAGAGTCTTGAACATACTGCCAAGAAAACAAATAGTTCTTTCTTGAAGAGGGTGAAACCAAATTTCTTCTGGAGGCTAGAATTTTGAAGCTTCATCTCACATACTTTGGGCACATGGCCAGGAAAGACTGGTCCCTGGAGAAGGACCCTGGAAGGGTGGAGGGACAGCACAGGAGAGGAAGACCCCAGATGAGATGGATTGATACAGTAACTGAGGAAATGGGGGTTGTTGTGTCAGAATTATTGAGACTGGCACAGGGCAGACTTCAGAGCTTCTGCACGTAGGGTTGCTATGGGCCCATAACAACAACACCCCAGTTCATTTTTTTAAGAAATCATTTATTGTTGCATAATTTCCTCCTTCCCCCAGTCCACATTTCTTTGCATCTCTTATTTTGAACTGTTGTCATACGAATAATGCCTAATCATATATCCCTTTTAAACAGTTCTTTCCTTCATCTGTTCCAATGCAGTGTTTATTATTTATCCCCTCTTTTCTTAGTTTCTGCTAACCCCCATGTCAGTCCTATTTTGTAACAGTGGTGTTATGCAGTATTTGTCCTTTCTATTTCACTCAATTTAATGTCCTCCAGGGTCACCCATGTTGTTTTATGAGTTCCTTTTTTCAGTTCTGTGTAGTATTCCCCTGAGTGAATAAACCGTAGTTTTTCTATCCAGTACTTTGCTGAAGGACACTTAGGTTGCTTCCATCTCTTTGTTATTATGAACAGTGCAGTAATCAACATGGGTATGCATATATCTGTTTGGGTGGCAGCTCTGGTTTCTTTAGGATATATTCCTAGTATTGGAATGCCTGAGTAAAATGTTATTTCTATTTCCAACTTTTTGAGAAAGTGCCATATTGCCTTCCATAGTGGTTGTACCTTTTTACATCCCAATTAATTCTTAATATACTCAAAAACATTGTTTTCTTCTGTTCTTTCAACTTGAGAAATTGCATGTGTGCTCTTCCCTTTGGATTTCTAAGCCCAGTTTTTTTGGCACATTGCATAATATCATGATTTGTATTTTTGAAATGTTGTTGTTGTTATGTGCTGTTGAGTCACCTGCGACCCATAATCCTCTGAGCACTGCTCTGTCCTGAGCCAGTCTCATGAATTCTGACACACCAACCACATTGCCCCAGTCCCTGAGTCAATCCATCTCATCTGGGTTCTTCCTCTCCTACACTGTCCCTTCACCCTTCTGAGCATGATGTCCTTCTCCAAGGATCAGTCCTTCCTGGCCATGTGCCCAAAGTATGTAAGATGGAGCTTCAAAATCCTAGTCTCTAAGGAGAAACTTGGTTTCACTCTCTCAAACACAGACCTATTTGTTTTCTTGACAATCCATGCTCAAGACTTTTCTCCAGCACCACAACTCAAAGGCATTGATTCTTCTTCTGTGATCACTAATCATGGTCCAGCTCTCTGACACATAGCAAGTAATTGTGAAGACCATGGCCTGGATTGTTGTTGTTATGTGTCATCAAGTCACCTGAGAGTCATAGTGACCCTATGTACAGTAGCGCTAAATCCTGCTCTATTTTGTGCCACTCTCACCTTCTCCCAACACACCTACCATTATTACTCTAGTCATTGAATCAATCCATCTCATCGAGGGTCTTCCTCTCCTGCACTGTCCCTTTACCCTCCAAAGCATGATGTCTCTCTCTAAGGACTGGTTTATCCTTGCAACATGCCCAAAATATGTCAAACAAAGCATCAGAATCCTTACCTGCAAGGACCAACCAGGCTTCATCCTCTCCAGGATGAACTTGTTTGTTCTTCTAGCAGTCCATGGTATATTCAATACTCTTCCGCAACACCACATATCAAAGGCACCAATTCTCCTTCTGTTATCCCCAGTCATTTTCCAGCTCTCTGACACATAGCAAGTGATTGCAAAGACCATGGACTGTATCAGGCACACGTTAGTCTCCAGCGTGACATCGTTGCTCTTCAGTACTTTGGAAATATCTCTAATCACAGACTTTCCCATTGCAATAAGTCTTTTAATTTCCTGGCTGCTGGTGCCAAGAGTGTTGATTGTGAAGCCAAGCAAACTAAAGCTGTTAACAATCTCAATCTCTTTACCATCCATACTGATGCTGCCAACTGGTCCAGTGGTAAGAATCTTTGTTTTCTTGATATTGAGCCTCAATCCATATTGAAGGCTGCAGTCCTTGACCCTCTGCAGCAAGCGCTTCAGGTCCTCCTCAGTTTCAGCAAGCAGAGTTTTGTCATCTGCATAACTCAGATTGTTGATGAACCTTCCTCCAATCCTGATTCTACATTTCTCCTCATATAACCCAGCCTCCCTTAATTTCTAGACTGACATCATTGCTTTTCAGCACTCTGCATAGGTCCCTAACAGCACATTTTCACAGTGCAATTCATCTTTTGATTTCCTTATCGCTGATGTTAAGAGTGTTGATTATGAGACCAAATAAGCTATAACTGTTAACCACCTCATTCTCTTCTCCATCTACCATGGTGCTGCAAATTAGCCCAGTGGGGAGTATCTTTGTCTTCTTTATGTTGAGCTTCAATCCATATTGAAGACTACAGGCCTTGACCTTCTGCTGCAAGCACTTCAGGTCTTTTTCAATTTCAGCACCAAGCTTTTGAACTACCTTTTGAAATCTTATGGTCAGCTCTTCATTATATCTTCCTTTCAGTTTTGCATCTTTTGGTTCTAGAATGAGTTTCAGTGCCTCTTCTGACACCTATTTTGGGTCTATTAGAAAAGAAAATATCGTTTGGAACTGAGTTGCGAGCATGACCACTCTGACTTGACTGTGTGTCTGGTGCTTTGTGCCACCTCTTTGTAAAGGGAAGTGTATTTTTATCACTTTCCGAATAGTACCTCAGCTGTGTAGAGAAAGAGAGTCTGTGGGACCAACCCAAAACTGGAGAGTCCTTCCTCTTCTTTAAGGATACTCTACTTGGGTTCACAGGTTTAGTTACATGAGTTGTACGTAGGTGTAGTTTATCTTTCCCTGCTTCATGTCTCATGAGGTAGGATGTGCCAGTGCCCTACCCTTTTAAGGTCACTCTTGAGTTTCAGTGAAAAATTGTTGCCTAGTTACTTTGTGACCTACTTGACCACAGTCCCTGAAAAGCTCATTTCAGGTTTGGGGGCACATGAAGGGAGAACAAATTCATGAAATGAAGGTAGAGCTTTCTTGGGGATAGGGTTCACTTGCCGACTCTACCTAAGGTACAATCTGAGCACTGGGGAATCGTGTGACCTGTAAGCTTCCTTTATGCCCAACATACATTTGATAGACTCTGGTGCGATAATTTTTGATAATGGATCTGGAGTCTGTAAAGCAGGTTTTTCTGGAGAGAAAAAACCCCTTCACACCCTCCGTTCTGTTGTGGGGTATCAAGAACCAGGCTTTTGTTTGCCAAGAGACTACTGTTTGGGGGATGACGCCTTGCGCAAGCATATAGCTGTTCGCCTGCACTACCCCATTGAATATGGACTAGTCTTGGGCTGGGATGGCATGGAAAAGATATGGAGGGAATTCTTTGAGTGCAAGCTTCATGTGATACCCAGTGAATGGCCTGTGCTCATGACTGAGCCCGCCTTGAACCCCAGGAGTATTCGTCAGAAGATAGCAGAGATAATGTTCGAGACCTTCAATGTGCCTTCCTTCTATCTGTCCAACCAGTCAGCTTTATCACTTTATGCCTCTTCCTGCCTCACAGGCCTGGTTGTAGAAAGTGGGTATGGCATCACTTGTACTGTCCCAGTCTTTGAGGGTTACCCTGTGCGCCAAGGTGTCACCAAGCTCTACATAGCAGGGAGAGACCTTACAGAATATCTCGCCCAGCTCCTGCAAACCACTGGATATGCAAACTCCTACATAGGTGACAGGGGTGTGGTGTGTGACATCAAAGAGAAGCTGTGCTATGTGGCCTTTGATAGAGAGAAGGAGATGAAGAAGAAGCGTGAAGAAGTCCAGAAAGGATACAGTTTGCCAGATGGGTCTGTTATCTACATTGGTGATCACCTGTACCAGGTTCCTGAAGTTCTATTTGAACCTCGCCTACTAGGTCTTGACAACCCTGGAATCTCAAAAATGGTGGCCACCAGCATCTTTAAGTGTGACTTTAGAATGCAAAGGAAACTTTTTGCAAAGATTATGCTGACAGGAGGAAACACCATGTTCCCTGGAATGGAGGAACGCCTCTTGAAAGAGCTGGAACAGTTGTCTTTTAAAGGGGCCCCCATCAAGATCATGGCTTCTCCTGACAGGATTTTCTCTGGGTGGACTGGTGCATCCATAATGACTTCTCTAAGCACATTCAAGAGGAGGTGGGTCACCTCTGCTGAATTCAAAGACTTTGGACCATCTATAGTGCAGAGAAAATGCTTATAGAGCTCCCAGAGGACAAGAGAGTACAACAGGAGCCTTGGAACTCAGCGTCACCAGCGGCAAGTGAGGAGGTATCAGATCTCAACACCATTCTCAATTAAAAAAACAATATGGTTGCCCTTTCTGACCTTGGTTCGTTCTTGGTGGCACCAGAATAATTTCTGACCCTGGTAGTGAATCTTTCAGCGGTTCAACTAATGTTTTAATGAGTCTATTCCTCCTTTTTGAGTAGTTCATTTTATAAGTTGTCTTGTGAAAACCATTGTTGGCATATATGCTGAGCATGTCACATGTCGATTGTTGTCAAAGTATTGCTTACAGCTTATACCCCATCACTTGATCCTACAAGGGTGCTTGAATCTGGAGATATTTTCCAAATTACTGGCCATAATATTGGATTTGTAACTCCCACCGTTAGAAAGGTAACATAAGTTTAGGTAACCTTCTTCAAGGCCTTTCAATTTATTGTCATCTAGTGGGAAAAGACTCATAGCTGACCCTCCAGTGATTTTTTAAGAGAATGTAAATCATATGAAAGGAGACTGCTGCTCTTTCTCCAACAAAGCAGCTGGTAGATTCAAACCACTGGCTTTTGAGTTGGTAGGGTAACTACTGACCAACATGGCCACCAGAGGTCCCTCTTCAAGTTGTGTAGAAGGGGAATATATTTGTTCTTAGGAGCACACGGTTGACCCTGCTTTTGCCAATATACTGAACTATATAAAAGACAATACATTTGTATGGGGTCCAGAGTATTAGAACATATTTCTGCACTGCAAGAGATACTTTTGCTTGGCCCAAGTGATTTAGTAAATCCCATGATATTAGTTAGAGTTATTGGTGACAGGAATTTCTTCTGGACTGATGGGTCCCTAAGGACATTCTGTACACCTTGGGTGATGCTCCTGTCAGTTGAAGAGGTAGGTCCAGGCAGGTCATCTTGTCGTGGACAACACATTCTGTTAGAAGATAGGGAATGTGTGCCTCAAAATGTAGGTATGACTCCCTGTACTATACTCACCAGGATATCCAGACAGGGCTAATTGATGGCAATCCAGAAATTGTCCAGTGGCATGGTCCCCAGTCACAGATGATGCTTCTTTTAGTGTAAGGGATAGCTGCAAGCAGAAGCCATTCAATGTGATTAAGTCCTGCCAGTCCTAGGAGATTGAGAGACTGTGCCTCAAAATGTGGGTGCTGCATACACTATCTGCCACCAGATTCACAATGGCATGTGTCTGACTTCAGTCTGACCAGATTGGCATACAGATGAGTATTGCCGGGCACGTGGCGCGTGGTAATGGGGTTTGCCAGTCTTCTGATCACCAGGAGGACATAAGAGAAAAATGAAAGCTTCCTGATTGTCTGCCCACTAACTATAGGAGTGGTGATTGATTAATTTTCAAGATTCCTAGCCTAAATGGAAAGCTTTGTGCAAGATTTCAAAGTGCCTGTGCTATGTCAAGGGAGACTTTGTGGCATGGTATGCTTGCCTGCTACCTGAAAAGTTTGCAATTTGAATTTACTAGCTACTCTATAGATTCAAGATAGATGGTTATTTCTAGTAAAAAGTTATAGTCTTGGGGGGAAAAAAATCAGTAGTGGTTTCTCATGCATTAGAGTCAATTCTACATTGGGTTTGGTTTTTGTTGATATGTCAGGTCCATTCATAACTCAACATTCCATTTCTCTTCATTTTTTTATATTATCATTTTGTGTCAGTATTTTAATTATTACATCCTCCACAGCTAAGTATTCCAGGATTATCAATCACATGTATTGTATTTGTTTTCTTCTGTATTTGTTGTACAAAGCCTGGGTTGCCATCTGCCAAGTTATAATCTTGCTGGGCATTTCAAGAATGAAATATTTAATCATTTATAGTTCCATCAGTGTTAAGTAAAATGTAGATGACACCATGCATTCATGGCAAGTAATAGATCAAAACCTTAATTTTCACATAAGCATTAATTGCTACTCAATCACTGTTCTTGTATACAATTAATTCAGAACCAACCCATAGCTGATCCTCTGGTGGGTTTTCAGAGGGAGTTAATCACATAGAAGGAGATTACCTATCTTTATCCCACGGAGCAGCTGTTGGATTCGAACCGTACGCCTTTGGAATCGTAGCGCAGCTAGTTCCAGCTAGACCATCAACTCATTACTGTCACTCCAGTTGGTTTTCAGAGGTTATAAATTACACAGGAGTTTTTCTCTCTTTCTCCCATGGAGAAGCTGATGGATTCAAACCACCTGCCATTGGCTTGACTACACAACCACTTACTACGAAGACACCAAAGCTCCTTTGTATATTATAATCCATAAAAATATATTATTTCTGTAAATTTTAAGTAATGATATAAAATATATTCATTATCTTTTATTTATTCAGGTATGTACTGTGAAGAATGTAGTTATTTGATAATGAGACTCTGTGATATTACATGATTCACCAAATACATCCTTTAATTCTTTTAATTTAAGAATGCATTGTACGAATATACTCAAATAGCAAAGAGATTGAGGTTGTTAACAATTTCAGCTTGCTCAGGTCCACAGTCAACACTCTTGGCACCAGTAGTCAGGAAATCAAAAGACGAATTGCATTGGAAAAATCTGCTGTCAGGGCCCCCTTCAGAGTACTGAAATGCAATGATGTCAGTCTAGAGACTAAGGTGCACTTAATCCAGGCCATGGTCTTCACAATTACTTGCTATGTATCAGAGAGTTGGAAAATTACCAAGGATGACAGAAGAATTGATGCCTTCTAGTAGTTTGGCTGGAGAAAAATCTTGAACATACCATGGACTGTGAAGAAAACAAATAGGCCTGTCTTGGAGGGGATAAAATCAAGTGTCTCCTTGGAGGACTAGGATTTTGAAGTTCCATCTCACATCATTTGGGCATGTGGACAGGAAAGACCTATCCTTGGAGAAGGGCATCATACTTGGAAGCATACAGGGACAGAGCAGGGGAGGAAGACCCCCGATGAGATAGATTGATACAGTAACTAGGGCAGTAGTGGTAGGTGTGCTAGAGTCAGTGAGACTGGCTCAGAACAGGGCAGGGTTCAGAGCTACTGTACACAGGGTTGCTATGGGTCACAGGAAACTTGACGGCACATAACAACGACAGCAATATACTCACGTATGAATGCACACACGTGTGTGAAAATTGAGCCCTCAGCATCCAATTCTTATTTGGGAATTCTGACTAGAATAAGTAAGAGGAAAACAAATTTCAGTTATTTATGTATAAAGACATGATTTCTGGTGGCATAGTTGGTAGAGAGTTGAGTTGCTAACCTAAAGGGCACGTTTCTTTGATAGTTTAATTCCCTTTGAGAGAAATATGGGCAGACTTTCCATATGATTTCTATTCTTAGAGACCTGACGAAGGGCCAGTTATGAGTCATACTCAACTTGATGGCAGTGAGAAAGAGAGAGAGAGAGAGCGCGCAAGTGCACTGACAGGAAAATATTGAAAATGCTCTTTCAGAGGTATATTTACAATGAGTTTACACTAAAAAGATAAACCTTATCAGAATGAAAGACAAAATTGTTGATCCAGATGAAGTTTGAAATCTTGAAAGAAGTATACAATAATCTGAAAAATATTCATTTGTTCCTAGTGCGTTAACTATTTGTCATGTTGACTCTTATATTAAGTCTCTTTGATAGCTTGGTTGTTGATACAGTGTTGGAACATATGCTACCATTGTTTCAAACAAAGAGGAACTTCCCCCCCATCTTTTATTCCATTTTCTATCAATCCACTGTCATTAGGGAGCTCAGATAACCTAGTGGTTAAGGAATCGTACTGCCAAAAGGAGGTGGTTCAAATCTACTAGCTGCTCCTAGGTGATTTATGGCCTCTTCAAACCCACTGGAGAGTCAGCTATGAGTGACTTTAACTCAACGGCATTGTGTTTTTTGATGTTACTGTATTGTTAATGGGCTATGGTGCTGTAGGTATAGGCCGCGGGAAGTTACAATGCTAACTCAGAGACTACATCTCTCTGTTGAGTCTAATCTCCTAGAAGCTATAAAGGAAAACTATGGGCACCCTCCTTCCATGCTACTTACTAGTGGAATGGAAATTGAAATTTTAATTCAATTAAAAATGGAATTACATTTCCATTTTATAATTGAGTGTGTATATGTGTGAGTGTATGTGTATGATGATCTGGTGGCCCTAGTGGGCATGGAGTTGTACTGCCTACCAAAGGCAGGTGATTAGAATCTACCTGTTGCCTTGTAGGAGAGAAATGGACAGTCTACTTTTGTGCAACTTATAGCACCTGAAAACTTACTTTTGGGTCAGTTATCAGTCTGTTCCGACTTGACAGCTGTAACAAAATCAGCAGTCTACACACATACATATAACCAACGGTCGGTCAGCATTTCAAAATCTGTAGCTGCTCTGCAGGAGAAAGATGGGCAATCTCTTCCCATGTGATTTACATCCTCTGAAAACAGATAACTACCAAAGATAAAGGTTGGGTTTAGAAGCGGCTGTGGTGCTAGAAACATCATCGCCAGCATTAGGTTGGATCTTGGCTGAAGGCAAAGAGTACCAGAGAAATGTCTATTTGTGTTTCATTACTTATGCAAAAGTATTTGACTGTGGGGATCACAACAAATTGTGGCTAACTCTGAGAAGAATGGGAATCTCCGAACACTTGATTGTGCTTATGTGAAACCTATACTTGAACCATGAAGCACTGTTTTCAAGCAAGTTTTCAGAGGCAGTTAATTGCATGGGAGGAAATTGCGCATCCTTCTCCCATGGAGCAGCTAGTGGACTGGAAAATGATCTGCCTTCAGGATTACAGTGCAGCTTCTTGCCACTAGGCCACCAGAGCTCCCTCTTACTTGGACCATGAAGCACAGAGCAAGGAAAACACTGCATGGTTTAGGAGAGGAGTGTGTCAGGGATGCGTCCTGTCTCCATACCTTTTCAATATATATATATGGGGAACAGATTATTCAAGAGGCTGG